TGCAGCAGATCCTGGGCTTCCTTTCGGCGAGCCTGGGCATCTGCTTCTGCATCGGCCTGTAGCCGCAGTTTCTCTGCTGCTGCTGCCTCTTCAGCTTGTATGCGGGCAGCCTCGACTATTAGCAGGCGTTGTTCCTCAGCCTCTATCTGAGCCAGGCAACGCTGCTTGTAGGCGGCAATGGTCTCATTGGCCAGTTGGCCTGGCAGGCCCGTCATGTTGCTGACGTGGCAATGCTGCTTACGTGGCACTGCTGATGTGGCACTGCGTCTGACGTGGTACTGCTGACGTGGCACTGCTGACGTGGCAATGTGTCGAACGTCACTGCTGACGTGGCATTGTGTCTGACGTGGCACTGCTTACGTGGCACTGTATGTCTGACGTGGTAATGTGACCTGGCACTGCGGACGTGGCACTGTGACGTGGCACTGCTGATCTGGCACTGCTGACGTGGCACTGTAACGTGGCACTGTGACTTGGCACTGTGACGTGGCACTGCTGACGCGGCACTGCTGATCTGGCACTGCTGACGTGGCACTGTACCGAAACAGGATGCATGCAAGGGGTGGGTGGAAGGGAAAAATGGAGGGATGTAACCAACCCAACAATGCTTTCCTCCGGCCCTAATCAACAGATAAAAACTAAATAAATAAAAGAGGACTATTTCCTTTTTTTTTTTTTTTTTGTATATATCTGTCGATTTATGATGAGTAGGGTATGTCAGAAGAGTATAATGAACGAGATCTAGGCTAGGTGCCGCAAAGTTTTGACTTTTACAAACTGCAATATTGAAAATTTTTTTTTGCGAAATGGAGTAAAGATGCGATTTTCAGAAAAGAACGAAATCCAGTTTCTGATAATATAGCAACCTCCGAATATGCCTAGCGCAATATTGGTAGGCTTCGCAAGATTCGGTTTTCAAAAAAAATTTTGGGAGATAGAATGGAAATGCGATTTTCAGAAAAGAATAGTTTCAGTTTCCGAGAATATGACCGCTTCTATCGTTATCCCAATATGCCTAGAACACGAAATACTACAGAAATTTCGGCTATGTCTGCGAAATATCAGAGAAACGAAATGCTACTATCGGGAATTTTCAGACAAAACGAAATGCGATTTATCAGAAATTTTCAGATAGTTGTTGCGAGAAAAAAAATTCAGAGACTTGACTAAGTCCTACTTGCGTTACTAATGAGTGATCAATAGATCGCAAGCTGGCTACTTGATTGAGCGGGTCGTATGAGAGGTCCGCTCCGATACCAAACTGTTGCATACCGTATAGGTGCAGACCAGAACAAGAACCGACCTTTCAATACAAGGTATAAGATAGCACAGCGGAAGGCTTAGATACCAGTGAGCCGAACAATCAATGTTGTAATGCAGCCCTGAACATACATCATCATCATCGTTTCATAGTGTGAATGGGTCTGGCGCTTCACACGGGAAGACAGCGCCAGCCCAAAACCTGCACAGACGAGGAGGAAGGGGATAGACGAAGAGGAGGGGGAAGATGGGAATGTCGTCAACACCAAGTCTTCGGCACAAGCCCAAATAATCCCTCGTCGAACTGTCTGAATCCCAAATGTCAAGTCTGGATCCAATGTCGTCAAGTCTCAAGTCACAACTCTGTCTCTCTCTGTCGTAGTCTGAGAAGTCAGGTGGCGAGAGGGTGAGGAGAGAAGGTGGACTTAGAAGAGGAAGAAGAAGAACTCTCTCTCTCTCTGTGTCCAGTACTAACCTGTGAAGTTGGCGCCTTGATGCAGGTACCACGAAGATGGAGCTGGAGCGATGGCGCCACAGGTAAGTAACGCTGGCCTCCGCCAGCCTCTCTCCACTCTACGACCTACTACCTACCAGCGCCCAGCGCTGAAGACTACAGCTACAGCTATGGCGACCAGCGCCGAAGACTACAGCTAACGCTACCACTACTGCCTAGCGCTGGAGACTACTGCAGCGCTCGTCCTGAGTGCTGCGGCCGAATCCTGAAGACTACTTCTATCTGACTGACACTCCCTCTATATCCCCGTGAAGTGCATGGGTCCTTCCTATGTACTACGGGTGTGCCTCTTGAGCCTGCCGAAGGAAGGCAGGGGCTGCAGCTGCAGCTCCTGCTCGAGCATGTGAGGAACAGGCTATTTTGGGCCTGTACCGCATCCCTGTTTCTGTGCCTGAGTCTTAGGGGCAGGTCGAAACAATGAGGGCCTGAAAATGGCCCTCCGTTTCAGGCTGAAAACTCTGGGTCTGAAAAGACCCAGAAATAGGCTGAAACGAGGTAGGACCTGCAGGCCCTCGTTTTTCAGCATCCAGGCTGAAATGAACGGGGCCTGTAAGCCCTAAGTTTTGTAAGCCCTAAGTTTTAGGCTTTTAGGCTGAATGTCCGGGACGGGCCCTGTAGGCCCGTGTGGCTACCCAGTATGCCACACTAGATGCCCAAGTCTTTCTTGCTGAAAGAGGCGAAGTTATGTACTTCGATGTTGGCCTCGTCCACCAACTTTTCTTGACGTCTGTAGGCAGACATCTCAAATGAGTACTCGTGGGTCATAGCGCACACCAGGTACTACGACCAGTCGTTCTACGACGTCTGTGACTTCGTGTACACTCCGGTACCGTTTGGAACTGAGACTGTTGATCGCGTCAGTGGCCTTCTGAGCCCCCGGAGGGTCATGCCACCTATTGTACACAATCCGTACGAAGTCTTCCAATGTCTAAGCCCTGGCCCAAGCATCGAAGTTCTGACCATAGCCTTGTTGCTGCACTTACTCCCTCTAGAAAGGAGGCAGCGACTATAACTTCCTGCTCCCGCCTTGTGAGCTTGTGCCTCACATAAGTGGGCACAGTCCTCATCCAGGTGTCCAAGTCTTCTTCCTTTTTCTTGTCGTCCGAAAAAGGTTTAGGACTCAGCAAAGGAATCTTGGGCATCCACTGCATAGGCTGGATTGGCCCAGGAGACTGTTGCAGTGGCTGCATAGCCATCGAGACAGGTTGCTGCACGCTAGCATGAGCCTGCCCTGACGATGGACTGTAGCTGCCACCGTTGTTGATGGTACAGTAGAAGTTCTAAGGACTGGACCACTAGCTGCTACTAAACCACCTGGAGGGGGCATGCCAAACATAGGAGAAAAAGAGGGCCCTACCGGCGACGAGGTCACTGAGGGACCCACAACTGGAGGGGGAGCTACAGCATATTGAGGCTGCCTCATCATTGCACGAGGAGCCTGCAGTGCATCCAGAATCCGGCTCTAGCCAGCAACTAGTTCGGCCAGCACTTCCTGCTGCACAACCTGCGTTTCTGCTACGCAAAGGAGCGAACGACGCAGCGCTTGTATTGCATGATCGAGTGTCGAGTCGTCTTGTGCTTCTAATCTACTTAGCTCCTGCCTCCTGCTCCCTAGTCTAGCTTTTCTCAATATAGCTCTCTGTCTCCTCTCTCTGCTGCCTCACTCAATTGCCGCTACAGCTCATCATGAAGTTCTTCTGCTTGGAGGATCTCATGATCCTCCGGTGTGAGTCGAGTTTGCTGGCTAACTTGTGAACCAGCAGACTGACTAACAGCACCCTGTGAGATACCATGACCAACCCCTGACGAAGTCGCCTGGGACGAGGCCTGTGGCGGTAGCCATTGCGGCCTCTAAGCCGGCTGCTGCTGACCTAGTTCTCCTTAATGCCGCCCTCTCCTTGGCTTCCCTCCTCGGCCTCCTTTCCTCTCCTGGACCTAACTCCGAAAAAGTGACCGGTCGACTGAGAGCAGTTCTACGGGTAACTCTAAGAGGTTCCACTAATCGTTCCTCCTCCTCACTACTCCCTGCATCACTCATGGGCTACAGTGTGTGTGATCTGAACTAGAATCCACACTGAATCCTACCTCAGCATGACACCCAACCGCGTATGGTATTCTACTAGTTTCGGTCAGCCTGGAGAGAAGTAGTCAAGTGGTAAACAACAACTACTGTCAGATCCTACAGGTAATACTAATTCTATTTTTGGATTACTCTGGAACAGATTTCTTGCAGCAAAGAGAACTAACTATTTGCAGCTGTCTGTTAGTTGTCAGTCAAAGTCCATAACAACTAAATAATCAAAAATGAAACAGTGTCACCTGCAGAGATGCATGCTGGATGGAATATTTTCTAATTAATTCCTCTCTGAGCATCTGGTTGAGCGGCGTGTCCGAAGGTGTGCAACCCTTCCTCTCTGAGCATCTGGTTGAGCGGCGTGTCCGAAGGTGTGCAACCCGGCCCACCCCTGTGGCCCAAGTCGATACCGAACCTGCCAGCCCCTGCACCTTCTTTACCCTCGCATGCAACGAGCCTTACTTCCGGTTAAGGACAGCCCCCAAGGTCCTCAGGAAACGTCGCAGACAGGACGATGATCACAGCCAGGGTTCAATCCGGAACCCGCCAGAAATGCTTAGAGACGGTCTGGTAAGCGTCTGTTCAAAGGGCTGGCATGCCCGACACGACTTCTATTGCGCAGCAGCAGAACCAAGGACTTGCGGCAAAGCATGCGTGTACTAGTCCCAGTGGATTGGCATGGTGACCGTGACCCGAGTGCTTCGTCTAGGGCCCTTTAGAGGCTTCGCCCGTCTCCCACCAGCTTGCTGCCCAGGAAGAATGTCGACTGTCAAGGTTGAGCGCTCGCGACACCTCTCATTGAGAGGACTCTCAAGACAGAACTCACTTCCTCACGGTAAGAAGTAATAAAGAGGATAGATAAGGAAGAGAGCAACGTACCTCATAATGCTGCCCCCAACCACAGATTTCTCACCGGCAACCTGACGTGCATTTATGATGACCGGTCTTTGCCGCGGCACAACAAACAGCAAAATGCAGTTCCACCTCGGCTTAAATGCCACATCAGCGAGCTCTCATCATCCAGCGTACACCCCTTATGTCACCGCATAGCCTCCCTGGCGCGCCCACACGACCCTGGGCCGCCTATCGTCCAATGCCCAAGCCTTATCACTGCCCCACACCTCATGCGGAGCACCAAACAGCTATTGCGAAGAACCAATGAAGCGCAGTTCGAACCAGCTCTGATACCAAATTGCAAGGAATATGAACAATAGCGAGATGACAATATCCAGATTGCACAATCACACTGAAAGCCGGAAAGTATCACAGTGTCCAGAAAGCAGCTTTGCAACAATATAACACCAATGGAGAATCGTAACACTGAAAACCCAATGTCAATGAGAGCTTGCTCTCGCCACCACCAACATAAGTGTCCCCGCCCTTCTCCCTACTTGGGGCTCGGCGCCCAGCCTACTTCCTACACAGCTACTGTCTCCCTACTAATTGACAATGCAACTGTTGACGTCAGCAGCCAACGAAGTACTTGGAGATGTCGCCCAATGCAGACCATCGTCAATACCAGGTATGTGCCCTCACATCATCATCATCATCATCATCCTTCTCTCTCTCCCTCAACTTTCACCCACGTATTCCCTCTGTACACCCGAAGACCACCTCTGTGCCTCACTGTAGTCCAAGCCCCAGCCAGCTATGGAGGCTGGGCTATGGCGCTGCCCTCAGCAGCGTCCTGCTTCTCGCACGACCGCACGCGCACAGCACCTTGCCCTTAGCGCACAGCAGCACACGACCCTACGCTCCAGCAGCGCTGCCGCACAAACTGGCAAGTGCCTGAATGAGCATCCAGGCAGTGAGCGCTTTCCTATATGGAAAGAGTCTGCCTGCCCCGACGGCCTGGCTGGGCTGGGCCTGTGCCCAGAAGCTTCCGGTAGGCCCCAGGAGGCTGTGCCTCTGTTGCAGCTGCTGGGCCTCGTTCGGTTGGGCCTCCCAACTGTCTGTGTATGATACTGTGATTCTTGCCCTGGGCCTGCATTTCAGGAAAGGCCTGGAAGGCCGTGAAAAATCTTTGCTGCTCGGGCCTGTGTTCCCTCAACCAACTGGCACGTCACAACTGCCTGGACCCCAAATACAAAATTGACAGCAATGGGCCTTTCGGGATTTGTTAGGCCCGGCTTCACTCAGGGCGGGCACATCTGTATCAGGGCCTCTCAGGCCTGCCAAGGACCCAGATCCTCGCAGTCATATTCCTTGCAGTAGACTATATGTCATGATTGGTTATTGAGCTTCGCTTATGGCAGGTATGTCGAGAGTTTTAGCTTTTAAGCCTCTTGAAGTATCCAGAAATTTAGGGTCTCAACACTCGTTGGCTAGCCATGGATGTCAGCTATGGTGATTCTGACTGAGAATTCAACCTGAGTATTCTTTTATTGGGTGTGTACTGACCGGCCCCAGCAGGACCTGTTCTCTTTTTGTAAAGAAAGAAAAGAAATATCTCATTTCCCCCAAAAGGTTTTGGCTATAATTGTTTTGCCTTGTCTTCCACAGCGACAAGCATACACACGGACATGAATTGAGGAACAAATGAAAGGAGGCAGGGGGCGTGAATTAAGGGGGAGGATTTAGTTTTGGGGGGGGAGGGGGAGGGAAGGTAGATGAAAGTGTCACAGTAAGACAAAGAGATAAGGCAAGAAGGCCGGGAAGAAGTGTGGGAAAGAGCCAATAACTTTGCCACCAGGTGGCAGACATGGGTAGACAACTGGTCACTGTGGAGGATCAGGGAGGGGCATGCAGGTGGTTGATTTGCCAAAATTATAATTGGAAGAAATTGTTAGAAGATAGACGATTAATGGCCATTTGCTGAGACCCTAACTTCAAGGTATTGTGAAGGAGCAGCCTCTTGTCAGAAGAAAGGCGGTTGCAAAGGTAAAGCATGTGCAATTAATGACTGATCCTTTTGAAATGGTTGACAGGAATGAGAGATACATACCTTGGGGGATGATTGCAGTGGAGCGGGCTTTACCACTTAATGCATAGCTGATGGAGCAACCAAACTGAAGACTCAAACAACTGTTCCCCTTCGCCAAGTCCTGCTCTTTTATGGTTTTCCCTACATTGGGGAAAACACACACGTACACATACACAAACAATCGCCATGCGTAGACACAAACATCAGTAGTGTTTCAACACCAAAACACCATATTCCGCATATAGATAAAAGCACCATACTACACATAGAATGAAGTTACCCACCATATGGAGGGCATGGACATGCAATTATGAATGATGGATCCACTTGATGTTAACCACGGTCTACCTTCCCCGTCCTTTTACAAAGTCCAGCTCAATGTTCCCAGCAGAAGCCACCAGTTCATCTGAGGTATTCATGTTCATGTTCAGTGACAGAGCATATCAGAACCATCAGGCAGAGCACATCACTGTTGCATACCGTATAGGCGCAGACCAGAACAAGAACCGACCTTTCAATACAAAGTATAAGATAGCACAGCGGAAGACTTAGATACCAGTGATCCGAACAATCAATGTTGTAATGCAKCCCTGAACATACATCATCATCATCGTTTCATAGTGTGAATGGGTCTGGCGCTTCACACAGGAAGAYAGCGCCAGCCCAGAACATGCACAGACGAGGAGGAAGGGGATAGACGAAGAGGAGGGGAAAGATGGGAATGTCGTCAACACCAAGTCTTCRGCACAAGCCCAAATAGTCCCTCGTCGAACTGTCGGAATCCCAGATGTCAAGTCTGGATCCAATGAAGTCAAGTCTCCAGTCACAACTCTGTCTCTCTCTGTCGTAGTCGGAAAAGTCAGGTGGCGAGAGGGTGAGAAGCGAAGGTGGACTAAGAAGAGAAAGAAGAAGAACTCTCTCTCTCACTGTGTCCAGTACTAACCTGTGAAGTTGGGGCCTTGATGCAGGTACCGCGAAGATGGAGCTGGAGCGATGGCGCCACAGGTAAGTAACACTGGCCTCCGCCAGTCTCTCTCCCACTCTGCGATCTACTACCTACCAGCGCCCAGCGCTGAAGACTACAGCTACAGCTATGGCGCCCAGCGCCGAAGRCTACAGCTAGCGCTACCACTACTGCCTAGCGCTGAAGACTACTGCAGCGCTCCTCCTAAGTGCTGCGGCCGAATCCTGAAGACTACCTCTGCCTACTGACCTTTTCCTGCAGTGCGGGCCAGTCCTTTATAGTGCTGGCCCGTGCAGGAGGCTGGCCGTGCCAATGCCTCCCTGGCCTAGACCCTACGGAAGCTTCCAGGCAAGAGCCTAGAAGTTCCCTGAATTTTCCCTGTAGGGAAACAGGCTGGGGCCTGTAGGCCCTGTCAGAAGGAAGCTTCCAGGCAAGAGCCTGGAAGTTTCCCTGTAGGGAAACAGGCTGGAGGTCCGGGACGGGCCCTGCAGGGCCCGTGTGGCTGCACAGTATGCCACACCCCCCCCTCCTTGAAAGACCGAGCTTACCTACGAGGGCGAAGCTGTCTGTATGAGGGAGGGACCACAGTCCGGGTGGGAGGGGCAGGTCGTGGAGGTCCCTTGGCTAACCTCCGTCGCTCGTAGTGAGCGTAGATCAGCGGTGCATACGCTTTCAAATCTGCTCCTGAAATCCACCGCGTGTCGTCGGGATCGCATGCTCTGAATGTAACTTTGTACTGGCGCGGCTTGCTGCCATAATTGCGATCTGAGATGATGCGGTCAACCTCCTGATGACCATCCATAGAAGGAGGGTCCTGCGATCGTCGGCCCGGGAAGTCATCGCTCTTAGCTGGTGTACATGTTGCCAGCTTTGACGCATGAAAGACTGGATGGACCGTCAGATGCTCAGGAATGTCGATCACAAATGAAGGGCCATCGGGCTCATCGCCCGCAGCTGATATCACTGTCCATGGTCCAAACCACTTAGGGAGTAGTTTGCGTGAGACATCCTATTCCAATGCAAACTCTTCCGAGGAGACCCAAACTCGATCTCCAGCGCGGATGGGACATGGTACGCGGCGCCTGTTGGCTTGCTACTGCATGCGGACTTGAGCCTTTTGCATGTTTGTGCGGGCTTGAGCCAGGAATTCCCTGTACTTCCAGACGGAAGCGGGAGAGCAAGCGGCGTCAATGTCGGCTGGTCGAGGGAGGAGAAGATCAGCGAAGATACGGCCTTTCCGTCCACCGTGGTGCAACTCGAATGGAGTCACACCGATCGCCGGGTGCACTGAAGTGTTGTAGGCGAACTCGATGTCGGGGAGGCGGTCAACCCAATCCTTCTGGTCCGAACGGATGAGCGTACGAAGCATCATTTGAGCGGTCTGATGTGCCCACTCCGTTTGCCCGTCTGTCTGTGGATGCCGAGCCGAACTGGGTTTCATCGTGCATGAGAGAGGTCCAAAAAGTCGACATGAAACGAGTGTCGCGGTCGCTGACTATGTCCTCGGGTACGCCGTGGCCACAAATCCAACCGGTGTGCAAGAGGCGTGCCAGCTCGGGAGCCGTGGAGTAGTACTTGCAAGGAAGAAAACGTGCGTACTCGCTCAATCGGTCAACAACCGTGAGGATGCCATCGTGCCCGAGCCGATCTCGAGGAAACGGACCGGTGACATCCATAGCAATGGAGATACCGGGTTCCCGGGGGATAGGCATCGAGCGTAACTCGCCATAGGGATTGCGGTTGCGGGGTTTGCTGCGTCGGCAAACTTCGCAAGAATCGCAATACCGCATGACATCGGAAATGAGGTCGGGCCATCGGAATCGTTGTCGAAGTCGTGCAATCGTGCGATTGACTCCGAAATGACCGGCGAGTCGCGATTCATAATACTCGCCGAGAAGGCGAGTCCGAAGACAGCGGTCGCGTGGGACACACAGTAAGTCCTTGCCTCTCGAGTGGAGGAGCAAGTACCCGTCGGCAATGCGATAGTGGCTGGCCGACGGGTGATCCGAAGATAGCTGCGCATACAACGTAGCAAACTCTGGGTCAGACTGATAGCCCCTGATGAAGTGTCGCTGGAGGTCCTCGTCGAACGCGAAGGCGTGATGTGTCATAGCGCAAAGATCAGGTCGTCGCGAAAGTGCATCTGCTGCGCGATTGGAGAGGCCGTCAACATGTTTCGGTGAGAAGTCAAACTGGTCGATGAAGTACATCCACCGTCCAATCGTGCTGCTCACCGTGTCCTGCGTCTTGTAGTAGGTCAATGGGTTATTGTCCGAGACCCATGTGAACCTACGATGCCCAAGAAGGAAGTGCCGCCATCGCTTGAGAGCCATGACGAACGCAAGCAGCTCCTTCTTCCTTGCATCATCCAGAGAATTGATGGGAGGCACTTTGTGGCTGAAATACTCCACAGGGTGCCAGTCGTGGCCGTCGTGTTGTTCCAAGACTGCCCCAATGCCATAGCCGGAAGCGTCC